TCCCCGACAGAGTTCCCAGAATGTAGCAGTGAAGAACTCAGAAAGACTGCCTTCTGTGGCCTTACAAATGTATCATCAAGTCTGCCAGATCCAACACAGTACACATCTTTAGATGATTTGATTCTGGCCACTCACCAATCCCTGCAAGGGGCGGCTACCACCTCCTACACTGCAAGTGAGCGCCTGAAGGCAGAGACCCAGCTGCTTCAATCTGCGCAGAAGGACAGCTTCCCAGAGGAGTTCCAAGCCTTACAAGCAGGTAACGCTGTTCGCTCGAGCAGTCGTCTCAGCGCCCTTTCCCCTGAGTATGACAGCCTCAGTGGACTAGTCAGAGTGGGAGGCCGCCTGCGTCAAGCTACAGATGTAGATCCTGACAGCATCCACCCAGTTGTGTTATCACCCGATCACCCTCTGACTCAGCTCATTATAAAGCACTATGATATTCAGCTGTTTCACCCCGGTACAGAGAGACTCTATGCAGAGTTACGCCGCATCTACTGGATCCTCAGAGGTCGCCAGGCCATTAAGAAACATCAGTACCGGTGTGTGGACTGCAGGAGATGGCGTGCCTCACCCTCCACACCAAAGATGGCTGACCTTCCCTTATCTCGGTTGAGACTCTACAAACCGCCCTTCTGGTCTACAGGCGTAGACTGTTTCGGACCATACCTGATTAAGATTGGGCGTAGGAGAGAGAAACGCTGGGGAATCATCTACAAATGCCTCACCACTAGATGCATTCACTTAGATCTCATCCCTAGCCTTGATACTGACTCTTTCTTAATGTCATTACGCAGGTTTATTGCACGCCGGGGAAAGCCGTACGAGCTGTGGTCTGACCGGGGCACCAATTTCAGGGGCGGCCATAAAGAACTACAGAGTGCCTTTGAGAGCATGGCACCAAAGTTGCAACAGCAACTGGCTAATCAGACTATCAACTTCCACTTCAACCCACCGTACTCTCCTCATTTCGGGGGAGCTTGGGAGAGGGAAATCCGATCCGTTAAGTCAGCCTTGCAAGGTGTCCTGAAAGACCAAGTTGTGGCAGAGGAAGTGCTCCTAACAGCTCTCATAGAAGTTGAAGGACTCCTTAATTCTAAACCACTCGGATATGCTTCATCTGATGTGGCTGACCCGGACCCCATCACGCCAAACCTGCTGCTAATGGGGCGGCGCGACGCTGCCTTACCACAGGCAGTATACGGCCCTCATGATGCTCTTTCCAACAGAAGATGGAAACACAGTCAGGTGATCAGTGATCATTTCTGGAAACGCTTTGTCCAGAACTACCTCCCAGGGCTTCAGCTGAGACATAAATGGAGGAAATCCACTAATAATGCTACTGTGGGACAAATTGTGATGATCATTGACTCCAACCTTCCCAGAGGACTTTGGCTTGTTGGGACCATCACCAAGGTTTTCCCAGGGACAGATGGTGTTGTTCGAGCTGCGGAGGTGAAGGTTAAAGACAGTATCTACATTCGCCCGGTAACCAAACTAGTGGAACTCCCTGAAATGCCTGAGGATTCAAGCGGCATTCCTTCAAACTAGTTGACTTTTGAATGAGTGTATTTGCTAGTCAAATACAGGGGCGGCTGTTAAAAGTCTGTGCCCTGACATAGACTACGTTACCCATAATGCATGCGTTCGTTGTAGTTCCGATCGCTCGTGGTTACGCTAGGCGCTTTCACTTTGGTGTAGTCCAGTCAGTGCTATGGGAGCAGTATTCACGATGCAGAGAATTGCCATCCTTTGTTTATCCTGCGCGAATCTTGTGTGTATGAGTGCTGTGTGCGTCCTTAAGATGTAAGTACGGATTTTGCATGAATGACTCGTTTATTGCAGAGTTATTAGCCCAGATGGCGAAGTTGTTATACTCGTGTTATTCACTACTGCTATACGGCTGTTGCCGTTACGGCGCTCCATATGCGCTACGGCGCTCCATATGCGCTCATAAAGTAGCCATTTACTGTATATACTTTAGTTATTGCCTTGTAAATAACCGTAAATATTATATTTAATGTATAGTTCGCCTATTTTGGCACTTTTCACCATGTGGAGATTTATGGCATCTATGCAAGTTAATTTATAGTGTTAGAGCTCCCACTAGTGGATTTTGGTCTTACTGCGGGTCATTTCTTTATGCAACTATATGTAACCATAGCCTACATGTTTATTAATATACATTTTATTGTATTTTCTGTTTCAGATAACCACACACATACACACACACACACCTACAAACACACCTATTTTGTCATATTGATACCTGTAAACCATCATCATCTCCATGTACCTGACTTCTCCTCAATAAATACTAAAACTGCATCATTGGATTTGCCTATTCCTTCTGATCGAGGAAGACTCAGTTGACGAGCAATCCATAATCAGCCTCAGACGCACACGGTCTCTTACAGCTATATAGTGTATAGCATTTGAGTGCACTATATCTGCAAGGAGTGAATGTAACCGTCAGCGTCCGAATTCACTCACTTCATTTCACTGTGCGTCAGAGAGCTGGAGCTGTAGCAGAAACGGCTTCGTCACACGTAGTGATAAAACTCCTTTTATCTTACGTTACTTACTTTATAAAATAATATTAACAACAATAACAATTATAATGACTTTATTTTGTAATTATATATACCTCCGTGCCAGCTTTGTAGTTTCATCAATTGAAATTGTTAGAAACTCAAGCTCACACATGACGGTCGTTGAGCGCCCTCAGGCGACCTTTATGATTACATTCGAATGAACAGATGATTAACGAATATTTTTAAATCATCCACCAAATTGTCATCCCTTTCTTACAGTTTAACGAATTAACAACAATTCCACAAATTATTAAAACACCTGGCTTATAGTAAAACACATTAAATTGAGTTAGGCCTAATGCCTAAATAATATATTTTAAAAAAAAAGAAAAACATACCAATATAATTTACCCTATTAATATCAGTTCATTTTAATTTTAACATTCATCTATATAATATTTTCTCAATATTTTAATGTTTTATTCAAGTAATGATTAATAAAAATAAAAAAAAGGTAGAAAAAAAGCTGTAAAGTAATCTCTGGTTTGCACTTTCAGCATGCTCAGTCCTCTACGCATTGGATTCTGGGAAATAGTGCTTCAGCAAGTGTACATCGGATGTACACTCAAAATCAGAGAGGATTGTGGGTAAAAGTAGTGAACGAATGTAGGGAATGATCAATGATGTCGTTCACTCAGAATTCGGACACCACTCCAAAATGGCCGACACCCTATATAGTGCACTATATAGTGGATAGGGAGCGATTTCAGACACAGCTAATTGTTTAATTGATAAGAGTCTCACCTGTCCCTTGTTGCTACTGTGTATTTAAACCCTCAGTTATCTTCTGTTCTAATGTGTTAACATTTCATTCTGGTATGTATCTTTGTTTGGCTCCTAGTGTTTATTAAATGTTATTTCATTGTTTATCTGTGTCAAGCCTCATTGTTGTGGATAATCAAGGCAAGTCAGTGTGACACTTAAAAATGCAATATAATAAACACATGGCAAAACTGTACCAGGGGAACAAATCTAAACAATATAGCTAGTATTACCAATTTCCTGAAAAATTAAAAGGCAGAAAATGTAATTATTATGAATAAAATAGTTCAATATAAAATATTCAGATATTATAAGTTGATTGAAAAATAATAATTCAACAACTTTAAAGTTGAATTGCATCTATGAGTTGTATTTAATATCAATCAATTTGTGGCACAGGTTTTCTTATATACAGTATAAGGAGGGGGCTTCAAGGACAATAAATTAAATAAAGTTAAAGAACAAGTTTAGAATCAAATCGAAATTTTTCAAACCGGAAATTCGATATTTTATCGAATAGTGACGCTAAGAAACTATTTTTAATGAAATCGTGTCCCCCCCCCCCCCCCCCAAATTTTTTTTTTATTTTTTTATTTTTTATCGAATGGTGGCCCCAAGAATCGATTTTTATTGAATTGTGATCACAAGAATAGATTTTAATCGAATCGTGACCCCAAGAAACGATTTTTTAATCAAATTGTGACCCCAAGAAATGAATTTTATTGAATCACGGCCCCCAGAATCGATTTTTTATTGAATCGTGACACCAAGAAATTATTTTAATCTAATTGTGAGCCCAAGAATCGATTAACCTGAGGTAAATGTAACGTTATGTGACACAGCTATTGTTTACAAGCTGTTTTAAGGATGTCTTATCTCGGCTGAAACACTGATTGAGTGATTACATGAGACATAATAGGCTACATTTCAGTAAGTTTTACTGTATCTTTCAACATACCTTCTAATGTTCATTCAGGTTTGTTTCGTGAACTGGTAGTAAAGAGGAAGAGATGATCGGTTTACATGCCGCTTGAACTGAGGCGTTCTGTCACGCCACATTATAGACACAAAACGGCATTTTTCTTTATTTCATCATACAATTGACAGAATTTGAGACTTTGTTTCATATCAAAAGTAACATGCTCTATCTTGTGTCATCTTGTATCCGCAAAGTTTTTTCACTGCGTGAGAATATGGATGTGTGGTGTTAAAATTGTGTCAATTGCGTGGGTCTCACGCTGAAGGCTTTACTTCTCTAGTTTGCATAGTTCTACTCAGCTCAAGTCTGAATAAGGAATATTCAAAATCTCCTAACGGTCCTGAGGGCTACTGTAGGTCATTGCACTCTGAAGAAGGTGAAGGAAAGGCTCTGCCAAAAAACAGGAGTGCAGTGTGAGTCTGGCATGTTGGGTGTTTGTCCCCAAAAGAGTGTTTTGTGGAACAAGGATGGCATGCAGAACTAATCCCAGCTCATTAGAGTTTTTTGGGGTCCGTTTGGACTTGACTTCACTGAATAAAGAGAAAAGTCTTAAATTTGATCACTTTCGATTTGTTTTTGGAGCTTAACAAGTTGATGATTTACTGAGGATTTACTGAAGTTGACTACAAACGTATTGAGTGTCTCTTTCTCCCTCTTCTTTGCAGAATTAAGCTTTCCAAGATCTGTATGACTTCACCACTCTAAGAAACTCTGTAAAGGAATTATTGTCCAAACACTGCCGTCGTAACACTGTACAACTACACATAGAATAGAAACAGTGTTTCCTGTGGAAAAGTTTAGTTTTCTTATTCTTCACAAAGTCTGTCACAGCGCCCCCTTTTTGGGGCCATGCCCCACCTGTTAAACAATGACACTTCCTTCAGCTCCAAGCAAGAGCTTTTGGTCCTACATGACAGTCCACTGGGACCCGGTCCAGACAATCCCAGCCCCGTGGAGTCCCGGGACTCTGTGCCTGGTAGCCCATCTGGAGATGCACTCACTGTGTTCCACAATACAGGCAAACTGGGGCTTGAGCTCACAGAGCCACCCATTGGGCTGAAGTTTGTCCCAACGGACTCCGAGAATCTGTGTGGATGGGGAGCACTGAGCCCACAGTGTATCCAGACCTTCAACACCCCACGCTGGTTTCTCTTCTTCCTCTGTGTGGCCTCCTTCCTCCAGGGCATGATCATCAACGGCTTCATCAACACCGTCATCACCTCCATCGAGAGACGTTTTGATCTGCGCAGCTACCAGGTCAATTTGTTTGTAAATATAAATGTCAAGTTAGTGTGGCATAAAATATTGGTGCCATATAAGTTTCTATGCATGAGATTTTTAAATGTATTAGTATCGATTGATTGAATATTGAATATTTATCAACTATGAAATGTTACTGTTCTCTTGGCCATTCACTGTTTTAAAGGATGTTCAGTCAACATTTAAATATATTGATTTGACACGCAACACTTTTGTAGTATAGTACTTTCTAGATGAAAAACATTGCTTAACCTTAGGTCAAATCCCAATTTCATACTTCTACTAATTGTGCTAATGATGATCAAGTGAACTGCCGTTCAAAAGTCTGGGGTTGGTAAGAATTTTAGATTTTAAGAAGTCTTGCATTTATTTGATCAAAAATATACAGTGAAAACAGTAATATTGTGAAACATTATTACAATTTAAAATAACTGGTAACTGGTTTCTATTTTAATTAGTGCTGCACGATTAATCGAATCGTAATCGCGATGTCAAACCTATGCGATTATATAACGCAAAATGCCGCGATTTTATATGAACACAGCATCTCTTCTTTTTTGTCATCCTTTGACTAGTGTTACATGATCCCGCTCTTATTCGTGCAAATGCCTTAAAACAATTGTGCACGACAAGAAGTCAAAAGAGAGCGTGCTGCCTGTGAATGTCCTGAATGTGACTCACAGAAAAACGCGCGCCAGTATAATGCGCATGCACAGACAGCGCCAGAATACAGTTCTCTTTCGAGCTTGAACGAACAATAACACACACAATTATGCCAAAATGTCGTTTTGTCGATTATCTTCATAACATAAGAGCAGTCTTATGATGAACGAAAGAGTTGTGCTTGTGAGAGAATGAGGCGCGTGTGAGATCCGCGTCTCAGCAACGGCTGCTCTTAAAGGGCCGGTGTTCTGACGATTTGTGCTGCCTTGTCGAAAAATGCTACCGTAGTGCGAATCGATCACAGAATGTCGATTAATATTATATGAAATACAATTATAATACAATACAATTGTAAGTTATGAGTAGCTACTGTATACTGTAGACTACTGTTTTTATTTTTAAAACGGTGTGAAAAGTAAAAATTATCATCAAATATTGACTTGTCAAAGCCAAGGGGGTAATCCATCGACCGGAAGTTGAAGCCGGCCGGGAGCCGCCATGTTGTAGCAGAACTTCACTTGCGTTAGCATTTCCATTGACTCCCATTCATTTTGGCGTCACTTTGACAGCGAATAACTTTACATCTGAGGCGTTTAAAGACTCCATTTGTCCATTATTTATTTCTAAAGAAACACGACAATGTATAAAGTGCTCCATTACCTTCTATGTTACATTATGGCCCCGTAGAAACAGTTTTAGTAAAAATAGGCTAACGATTGCGTCATAACCACTCGACTCTCTGTCGCGCTGTACAGAAATTACCGTACAGACAGGAGGAGAAGCTCGCAGGCAATCGGGGGGACGTCCCGTCAAGGGAGAAGCCCATAGATAATGAGTCCATAAAGGCAACGGAATACTTACTCCTGCTCACTCACGCCAAATAACTCTTTGCTCAAGTTCCCCGTCTCTGCAAGATTAACGTTGGCAATTTTCACGCACAGCTACTAGAAGATTAACGTCTGTCAGACAGGTTGCTCACGTCATCAAGCTTAGTTTGAGTCGGTTTGAGTCTGCGCGTCAGGAACGGAAGTGCTCAGAAATCGCTAAAAATGGGCTTCAACTGTCTCAACTGAGTTCCAATGAGATGGCTCTGTCCATTTCTTATACTGTCTATGGTCAAAGCACACCTTTCCTTAGTAACTGAAACTTTCAGTTATTCTTGTTCAGCTGGCTGACCGTACAAATATTCATATGGTAGTTATCATTTTTTAAAGGGAAATTACTTTATAACACATGAAAATGTACCTTTTGTTAAAAAAGTCTGCACATGCGCATAACCAGTAAGTAGCAAATCTCGATGGGTAGCATGAATCGTCAGAACACCGGCGAATAAAGCATTCAGTCGGGAAAGTTAATCAAATAACAAAGGGAACAGAAAATTACTCACTGCTCTTGACTAAAGAAGTTTTGTAGCTTTAATAAGGATTAGTCTATATATAATTTATAATTCATGCAGCGCAGACTGTTTGATAACTTTATTCAATTTCTGTATATAAATCTGTATATAAATCCTCCATCCTACCTGTTAAGACAGGAAGGGCACAGGTAAATATGGCATTTATTATGGGTTTATGTGAGGATTGTTTGAAGTTCACTTAATTTAAAAGCTGTTATTATTATTTTTTAAGCCTAATAAATATTTTAAAAGTTGATAGCTTTCAATTGTATTGATGGAATTACTGTAATGTTGGATGGCTATAATTAACGTTTAAAATGTGGGGGGTGTCGTCATTTTTATCCAGACATCAATGGTTTATTGATCATTATAGGTGTTATCAATCATTTAGTTGTTGTTGCTAGTTTGAGTTGAGAAATACACATTAATAGACAGAATGATCACTAATCTGTGTGTGCATTTTACTTTAGAACCAAGCAAGTTGACTCATGAAACCATTTGTTTATTATATCGCAATCGCATATCGCAATCGCAATATTGACCTCATTAATCGCAATATGACATTTTCCCCAAATCGTGCAGCCCTAATTTTAATCTATTTTAAAATGGAATGTATTCCTGTAATGCAAGCTGAATTCAATGTCAGCATCGTTACTCCAGTCTTCTTCAGGGTCACATGATCCTTCAGAAATCATTCCAATATGCTGATTTAGTGCTCAAGAAACATTTCTTATTATCATTATCAACAGTTGTGGTGCTTAATATTTTTGTGGAAACAGTGTAATATTTTTTTCAGAATTATTTGATGAATAGAAAGTTCAAAAGAACAGTATTTACTGTCATTTTTTATCAATTTAGTGCATTCTTGCTTTATTTATTTTTTTCCCTTGTTTTTTTTAAATATATATATATATTACAACAAACCCCAAACTTTTGAGCAGTAATGTATGTATTCTTAAAATTTCATACTAAATCATAGAAGTATTGCAAACCAATCATCTTGCATATCGCAATGGGTTGTAGGTAATAATAGTTCAAAAAGTATGCATGGCCCAAAAGACACGTTGTAGAATAGATTGTATTCAAATTGTGATTCAGCCTTGTTATCCATTGCTAGATTGAAAGTGTATATCGCAGCATTATTAATAACACAATGTGTTATTTGTTTTGCCATTGTAGGCGGGACTCATCGCGAGCTCCTACGACATTGCTGCTTGTGTGTGCCTGACATTCGTGAGCTACTTTGGTGGTACGGGTCATAAGCCTCGTTGGCTGGGCTGGGGTGTGCTCATCATGGCACTGGGGTCTCTGGTCTTTGCCCTGCCCCATTTCACCACACCACCCTATGAGGTGAGAGTACCGCAGCGCATGGGATTGTGCTCGGCCAATCACACAGAGGCATGTGTAGGCGAGGAAGGTGGGCTGTCAGCGTACCGCTACGTCTTTATGCTGGGCCAGTTTCTTCATGGGGTCGGGGCAACCCCTTTGTACACCCTCGGGGTCACCTACCTCGATGAGAATGTCAAGTCAAACTACGCACCTGTATACATAGGTGAGTGTGATGATGCCATGAAAAACATAAAACATATATATATATATATATATATACTGATATTAGATATTTTATTCTGTTTGCCCATTTCCCCTATTTTGAAATTTAGTTTACCCTTTTCTGTCATCTAAAATTCACTTATAACAAAATTTTAAAACACTGTTAAATGTAATCTTTAGCAATTCTCCAAAGGAATATACATTTTCATACTGTACATTGCGCTGCTGTGATGCCTAAATTTACTTTTAGCATTTAAGTCAATTTATTTTAGTTTTCAGTATTTTAACTTTTTTATTTACTTATTTTTTTATTTTTTTTTAGACAGAATAGTGCAGCATTGTATTACTGTAGGGCCCTATATATATTTGTTATATTATTAAAATGAAATTTGGGGAAATTTGGATACATAAATAAAAAGTAGGTCTGTACAATTAATAAATAAATAAAAATAACCCTATAAAGAAATTATGACAAATATATTACTATCGTTTTGTAAAATATACTTAAAGTAATAATAAAAATAAAACAATTATTAAAATATTTTAGAAAAGTCACACAATCAACAGAATTTACAAAATTACAGTACACCTCTGTTGTGCAACACTTCATGTGAAATGTTTAGTTGTACTTGTTGTTAATAACATTTTTGATGATAAATTAGGAAAAATTAAAATAGCGTTTGGGACAAACACTGTACAACAGATTTCATAGGGCACTATTGTTTTTAAAATTGTAATACAATTATTAAATCAGTTGATTAGACATGCTTTTTGTTTATTTAAAATTAAATAAAAGCATTAAAGCGGAATCCAGAGATTCAGAAAAATTACAATGGAAATCAGAATTTGGAAAGAAATAACACCGAATTTGCTCACATGTAATAAAGATTTCTCAGGGTTCTAATATTGGTGCATGCCCATTAATTGATTGGACATGATTTCATCAGAGGGTGTGTTTGTAAATGTGTAGCTAAATGTATTCAACCACTCAGATCGATATTCTTTAAAAAAAGAGAAAAAAACACAAAAAATCAATTGTCTTATAGTTTACATGGAAAAACACTCAATAATTCATATTTGCCCTCACTGAACCCTGTCATTTTGTCTAACTCAGGCTTTGACACACCTACTCACTTTTCTTTTGTCGTTATCAGTGAGCCTCACTAGTTTCCACCTCAGACATAAATAAAACCTCCTTCCATTGTTTTTCTCCCCACCGTCCAGTTATCAAAGGCCATTGCATTGAGGACAATCGCTACCCTGCTTGCCCCCCACTCCAGACATAGGCACTGGAACTTTCAAACTGCATCTTACTGTGCCTTTTGATTGAAAACAAACATAAATCAGTGTGAAGTCTGTGAACTCAGACCAGCTTTTAAATGACTCAAGGGGCAATGGAGAGAGCCACAGAGACTTGATGTGCTGCTTTTGTTTTCTCAGGGATCTTCTACACAGCCGCCATTGTAGGACCTGCGGCCGGATACTTGCTGGGTGGATTCTTTCTCAACATTTACACAGAGATTGACCAAACGTAAGTGGCTAAGTCGTAGTTCACCCAGAAAAGAAATTCATAATTTACTCATCCTCATGACTTTCTAGTAGAACCCCCCCCCCCCCCAGTGATTTTATATTTATCATCAATTCGATGTAGAGGGCACCTATATTATATTTTTGGACCGAAGGCCAAAAGGCTGTTAATTTTCATGCCATGGCTGATAACTGTTCAATATTAAAACTGTATACTATTTTGTCTAATAAAATAAAAAGCTAGAAACTAAAATCAATCTTTTTTAAATGCTACAAATGAATTTAGGCATCACAAATGTATAATGTATGTGTGTAGTGAATGAAAATTGGATATTCATTTGGAAGTTTGAAAAAAAAATGATTTTAAGATTATATTAGATAGGCAAGCAAAAAAAGGTTTAGTGAGAATTAAATTTACATTTCTTCAACAGACTAGGATTGATTTGGATCTTATGACTTCCATGATGCACAATACAAACTGAAATCTTGCATGAAAAAAACAAAAATATTTTTCTACAGTCTTATTAGCAGTAAAACTTTCTAATGCTAAAATCTCTCTCTTTCCCTCAGGACAGAGCTGACTCCTGAAAACCCACTGTGGGTGGGAGCTTGGTGGATTGGTTTCCTGGCAGGAGGAGCAGCGGCTCTGGTTATCGCTCTGCCTATACTGGGTTACCCACGGCAGCTACCAGGTGCTACCCATAAGCGCAGAAGTCAAGTGACTGCAGTACATTATAGTATTAGTGTGAAAAACTGTCTCACTTCCTTTATCTTGCAGGCTCTCAGCGATATGTGGCCATGCGTGTCTCAGAGGCCCACCAGCTGAAGGATGGCAGTCAAGTCACTGCATCTGATCCTCAGTTTGGAAAAACAGTAAAGGACATGCCCAGGTATGAACGCATGACAGGAGAGAGGAAGTGAGCTAAAAGTGGTTTCCCCTGGTGGTTTTACAATCGTACAAATTTCACCACCTTTTAGCATAAGTGTACTGCCATGTTTATATTTAGAAACTTGGTTGATGGGAAGGAGCTGAGGCTGTAGTTTTCTAGTTTGCCGAGTTCAGCGAATTCAGATGGGCGATGGGTCCCTAGATAATTTTCTTGAGATTGAGGATTTAGCACTTTTTCAAATTAGCACTTTTCACTGTGACTTTACCCTTAAAGAGCCAACAAACTGCCACATACAAGTTATCGGGCTGTCGTTTTTCACTTGGTTTGCTGGTTTTTATTTGGCCACAAGTTTCCACTAGTTATCATTAAAACCTCCTTCAGTTGTTATCCTGTCCTCCATTCAGTTTTCAAAGGCCATTGAAAGACAATTGCACCAATGAGTCTTTCGAAAGAAATAAAAGACAAAAGCACAAATCAATGCTATCAATTGATGCTGTTGTATGTTATCCATAAATGGTCATCCACAGAATTGAAATAATGTGTATTTGCTACACTATTTATTAGCACTATCTAGTGGATTTTGTTTTTAAAGCGCTCAAGTCACTCGCACATGCGCCGCACTATCCATGCGGTCACAAAAATTGGGCTGCTCGCGGACCCTCCTGATTACAAAAATTACGTCACGCAGACGGCTGAAGTATATTTTGGGCTTGAATGAAAAAAAGGTTTTAGAAAATACCGCTCCATGGTAACGTCATTGGTAAAAGTTTCAAACGGCATACTATTGCCTGTTGATTTCGGCAAGTCTACTGTGTGCAGTAGTGCAGCATTTGACACATTTGGCTTCGCTGTTCTTATCCCATGTTAGGAGCATTGTGTGGGCATTCAGGGGAATGCTCTTAAATAGTTTCAGTCTTATTTAAATATTAATGTACATTTTTTTATACTGGTGATGAATTCTCTTTGGGTGCAGCTCTTCTCACTTGTGGTGTCCCTCGAGGCTCCGTTCTTGGTGCGATTTTATTCTCCTCGTGTGTGCTTCCTTTAGGGTCTATATTTGAAACATTGCAAAGAGATACTGTGTTTCTTAATGACACTCAAATCTATCTGTCCCTGGGATCCAACAAGAGGGATTTGAATATTCTTTTGACTCGTCTTGCTGATGTCCACTTGTGTCATGTTTCTATCCCATTCCTTCTTTACCTATAAAATCCATCTATAAAAAGTAGAGAGCATCGTAACACCATGGTGAACTGTGACAACTGAATGTGTAGAGGAGTAATTTTTCTCTCTCCCTCTTTTTTTCTATAGGTCAATGCTGTTTCTTTTGAAAAACCCTACCTTCATCTTTTTGTGTCTTGCTGGTGCCACAGAGGCCACACTCATAGCTGGGATGTCCACGTTTGGCCCCAAATTTCTGGAGTCTCAGTTTAGTCTGAGTGCTTCAGAGGCAGCAACCTGGTTTGGTAAAAATCACAATTAAACGCAATGCCATACCCTCTTGCTCAAATTACTCTTAGAATATAACAAACAACTACATACACTGAGTTGTTTTTAACTCCATCTTCTCATTCCAGGGTATATGGTGGTACCAGCTGGTGGAGGTGGCACCTTCCTGGGCGGCTTCATTGTAAAGAAGCTGAACCTTCGTTGCCGTGGGATCATCCGTTTCTGCATGCTGTGTGCACTGGTCAGCCTAACGGCTATCTTCATATTTTTGGTACACTGTCCTAATGTGCCCATGGCAGGAGTAACTACCCCATACTACAGCAACTTCACACACAACAACTACAGCGCCCCCTACCTGCAGACAGAAATCCACAAAAGCAGGTACTGAACACTTTGAACTCATGAAATGCATCAACAAAATTAACTACTTCATTGCTAATCAAGCACATTTATTATTTAATGAAAAAATGCACTCTGTCCTGTTTCCCATTAGTCCTGCTTTCCTGACTGCGGTCTACTCTCCTATTAAGTGAAGAGGGGAAAATTAAATTAATGAATTGATGTGAAATATACATCTTTGTTTTTGAATAAACATTTATGTTTTTTCTTCTCCCTCAATACTGGGAAATTCTATAGAGACTTTTTCCCATCAGGAGGTTTTTGTCATGATTTATTCCGTTTTTATCAATAAAGATAAAGGGGCTAGACAGATATGTTATTATTGATTTGTTGAGGCAAGTCTGGAAATGTCAGATTAATAATACAATACAAAGAAAGAAAAAGATGATCTTAGAAAAGAAAAACAAAAAAAGAGTTACGTCTCTATGATATTAATAATGACAATCTTTTTATTATTATTAATTAATTCAACTTTTAGTTACCTAGGTAGGGCTACATAGTAAATCATATTTTAATCGTTATCACGATTTCTGCTTCTCTAGATTAATTAAGAATAATCGTCTGCAATATTTGACCCGTTGGTTATATATACCCTGAAGACGTTTCATTTGACATTTGTGTTATCTTGCATTGGCAACAAAGCTTAAAGGTGCAGTATGCGATTTTTCAAAATCCTTGTTGAACACTGTTGATATTTGAAATCAACCCAAACAAACACACCCCTCCTTTCATTGCTCCGCCCCCCAAATGCATGAACACGCAATGCAAGAGTTTCTCTTTTATCAGCAGAAGCAAAGCAAAATAATGCTTTGCGAAAAATAAAGCGAAGATGTCAAACGAACGATAAGGAAGCACAAAAAATGAACATACAGTACACAAGAGTATATACAAGCAAGAGTCCGTTGTTAGTCGCCAGCAGCACACACTCAAAGCCAATGTTACTCGCATATGGAGCAGAAACAACGCAACCTTGGTGTCCGATTTCAGGCCTACCCAATTCGGTTTCTTCAGTGCTGGAAAGAGTTTCTAATATTAACGCGGGTCCTAAAGCTCTTCCCTGACCATATCCCCTTCTATTTCCAGTGATATTCCTCTCATCTTTTCTCTTTTGTAATGTCTCTCAGCCATCTCTCTTTTCTTCAAATCTCCCTCTTGCTTAGCTCTCTCTCTTCTCCCATCATTAGTGGACATGCTTGTTTGACAAGTTTGTTGTTGTGCATGGTCCGATGCACTTTCAAGAGCGTTTTTCAAAAACTGCTTACTACACCTTTAAAGACTTTAGATATACCAAGACTTTGCACTTGTATTACTATGAATGAGAGAAAGTGCAACGTGCAGTATGGCAGCATAAGTCCCTCCTTCTAAAATAGCCAATATTTTGCTCAAATGAAAGTGGGTGGTCAACCAAGAAATATACATGGTCGTTACATGGTCATTTGTGCTGTTTGCTGTGACTAAATCTGTGATCAAATCTCAGTGATTAACTGTAATAAATCACTGAATAATCAAACCGTTTTTATTAGGAATTTCACTGGATTAGCTTTTAAGAGAAGCTTCTTGTTGTACCACTTTGTATAATGTACAGTAAAGAGTGTGTTAATTTATTGGCCAACATGGTACTATGCAGGTTGACATTTTCTTGATTTGTGCTAATGTAAAAGTGCAATAATCTTCTAAACTGCTAAAATGACAATATTCATGATTATAATTTTTAGCACAATAATCATGATTGTCAGTTTTACTATTATCATGCAGCCCTGCCTGTAGGTATTAACCTTTTCAATCAAGTCTGATATGCCATGTGAGTGATTTATTACACGCATAATGGTGTAAATTAATATCCAGAGCAGGAAAGAGGGGATTGACTGACAGTGTTTTATTGATTGGTTGAGGTGAAACAAAATGTATAACTAAACATTTTCTCTCTCCCTTCAGCTTCTCGGATCTGGGCAATCTGACCGTAAGCTGTAACATTGGATGTCACTGTGTTAAGGAGTTGTTTAACCCTGTGTGTGGTGCGAATGGAGTGATGTATTTCTCTCCCTGCCATGCCGGCTGCAGCTCCCTCAACCACACGAACAGCCCCAGAGGCAGACAGGTACACAAACCTCACGTTCTACACTCTCTCAGTGTCACGTACATGCATTTAACAACACGATCAGTCAATTAACTCGACATAACTGCATACATTTTGTAAGGTAATTTAATTAAAGGGGTCTTATCCTCCCAAATATGACCTTGTACAATGAAGGAATACTGTAAGTTTCAGAACATAACACTGAACTGAAGTGTTAAAACTAAGATGCAAAAATGTGTTTTACTCTTAGATAAAAATTAGTCACGATAACTAGATTTGGCACAACATTTTTTTTACATATAAGAGGATCTCAGAATAAAAATGAGTCTTATTCTTGATTATGAATTTGTCCCTGTTGGTGTGTGTGTGTTTACACATTTGTAGGTGTTCTCTGGGTGCAGCTGTGTGGTAGGGAATATATCATGGGGAGAACAAGGTTTTGCTGAAGAAGGGAGGTGTGTGTCGTCCTGCAATCACATGCCAGCCTTCCTCACGTTCCTCTTCGTCGTCATCTTCTTCACTTTCCTCTGCAGCATCCCTGCACTTACTGCCACACTCAGGTATGACAATGCATATACAGTACTACCATTCAAAAGTTTGGGGTCAGTAAGATTTTTTTGTATGAAATACTTTTATTAAGCAAGGATGCCTTAAATGTTACAGAATATTTCAATTTCAAATAAATGTTGTTATACAAAGAATCCTGAAAAAATATATCACGGCTTCCACAAAAATATGAAGCTGCACAACTGTTTTCAACATTGATGATAATAAATGTTTCTTGAGCATCAAATCATCATATTAGAATGATTTCTGAAGGATCATGTGACACTGAAGACTGGAGTCATGATGCTGAAAATCCAGCTTTGATCACAGGAATAAATTGCATTTTAAAATATATTCACATTATAGAAAACCGTTATATTAAAATGTAATAATATTTCACAATATTACTGTTTTTACTTTATTTTTATCAAGTAAATGCCACCTTGGTGAGCATAAGAAAAAAAAAATTTATTGGCTTTTCAACAGTAGTTTAGATTAAAAATGCAAAATAAACGTTATTAGGTCATGTGGCCACAATGCAGCATACTACTGTTTCAAATGTATTGTGCAATAATGCCTACTCTTTCACGTTACATTTGGAAAAAAAATCATTATAAGTAATAGCTAGTAAGTAGTAAGCTAGTTTTTCATTCCTAATAGATAGTTGGATCTCTAATCTGGCATACATTATAATCTAGATGTTGTAATGTAACTGTCTTCTCCTGCAGGTGTGTTCCTGACAGTCAGAGATCGTTTGGGCTTGGGATCCAGTGGATCGTAGTAAGGACTCTCGGTGGGATCCCAGGCCCCATAGCGTTCGGCTCCGTGATTGACATCTCCTGTCTGCTGTGGGAAGAGCAGTGTGGGGAATACGGCTCCTGTTATCTGTACCACAACTCAGCCATGAGCCAGTACTCGCTCATTGCAGGCATCATCTACAAGGTAGAGAAAAACACTTGAAAATATGTGGAAATTATGCAAATAAGGTTCCATGAGAAACCAGTGCTGATTCATTCCATATTAAATACACTTTAGCTTGTATGAAACTCTTAAAACTGACTTTTCAGTGTACCACAGGAGGCCATTTATTTTGCAGCACTAAATGGCCTTCAGTGGTACATTGAAGAGACAAAGAGATTTTTGGTCCCCACTTGATGTGTTATACTTTAGCTTTTACAAAACTCTTAGTCTCGTCAATGTTCTACCGGAGGCCATTTAGTCGGAGACCACAAGAGAAAATGCTTCCATTTTGCATTTTTCTAATTTAATACAAATATTTTCGAATCTTTACAAATTATATTATCAGCTGAACAATTTGAGTGAAAGGTTGAATTGAAAAATTAACATAAATGCCATAATGTCTTAATATCTGTCGCCATTTTTGTGACATAGAAGTGTTCTAGAAAAAAATGCGTTTAAAAAACAACTATATATGCAGTAAACTACCGTTCAAAAGTTTGGGGTCGGTAAGATTTTGAAATGTTTTTGAAAGAAGTGTCGTATTCTCACCAGTGCATTTATAAAAAAATTTTTTTTTTAAAAAGCTATTTATTCCTACCCTGAATTTTCATCATCATTACTCCAGTCTTCAGTGTCGCATGATCCTTCAGAAATCATTCTAATATGCTGATTTGCTGCTCAATAAACATTTTTGATTATTATCAATGTTGTAAATAGATGTATAGAAACTAAGTTCAAAAAGACCAGCATTTATTTGAAATAAAAATCTTTGTATCATTTTAAATGTTACTGTCTCATAAATATTTTCATTTTCAGATTTTTAATCCCAGATTTTGAATGCGGCCTCACCATTGAAGCCTATTGTTTATAATCAATAGCCGTTGACTTTTAGATCAGGTTCACATCAATCGCATAAACCTTTTCAAATGAACCTAACGGCAATCTAATCTTAACTCTTATCTCTCTTTTTCTCAGGTTTTAGGCACTTTTTTCTTCTTGATGGCCAGCATGCTCTACCAGCCGCCCCCCGAGTCTCCCCAGAGCAGCTGTGAGAGCACAGATGTGGGAGGCCATGACAGTGGGGGGAAGAACAGAGACCTGCCAATCAAAGACATCCCCCCTGAGATCATCTCAAACCCGCATGCCAAATTATGACCTCAGTCGAGTCTACAAAAAACACCTCACCTCAAATTGTGCGTGTATGCTTCTGTGTGTGTGTGTGTGTGTGTGTGTGTGTATAAGGTCAACACCATCACTGTTCACTGTGCCCCGTCCCTCCGGGAGTACATTGTTCCCAACATGCATCTATGATATATTCTCATATACTCTTATTGCCCACCAGCCTAAAACTCCTGAGAACTGAAAGCATCTATGTCACAATGAACGACCAAAGGTCAGAGCTGAAATCAGAGCATACAGTATGAGTTACATAAACAGAACCTACCAAAAGCAAACATAATCTTGATTTGAGAATAGATTATGCATATAAACTAGAATTATTTATATAATTTAAGTATAAAAATTAGAGCCTTTTTGCAAGGAAAAAGCCATGGACAATATATGAAAAGAGCACTTAATATAAATGTAACGGTAAGAGAGAATTACAGCAAATGTGGAGAAATGACGACAAAGTGTTAAGCTGTTATATGTACTAAAGATAGTGTATTGAAATGCTGCTCAGTTATACATTAAGAAAAACTGACAATTAGTTACAAACTGTGCCTTTAAAGTGTTTTGCATAATTCAGCACAGTTAGAAAGATATTGCAGAAAAATAAAAAATGCCCTACTCACAAACCCTGAAATCTCTCTAAATTGCACTTTAAACTACCTTCACTGACAGAACCATTTACAGTAGTGTTATTAAACCAAGTGTTGTCCTGCAACACCATTTTACGCAGTTCTAGTCCAAAGTAACGCATGTGAAACTTGTGATTCTTGTATTCATATATTCTGAATATTTTTACCATTTTAAAATGTGCCAAAATACTGTAGCGCAGGACAGGGAGGCTTCGAAGTGTGAGGTCACAGAGATGCAAGTGAGAGTTGAAGGGGGAGCAGGTTTACAAAATGAACTTTTTGCAACTGAATGCCATGTTGCGAAATACCACCCGAGATGGGATATTCCTGAAAAGCACTTCACTTTGAGATTACACTAAAAATGATTCTTGCACTGATTTTCTGGATGACATATTGTCAAACATTAAAAGACAATTTCTTGGTTGTCCATAATGTAACAGAACAAGCAGGATTTTTTTTCTCTCTTTGTATGTCGGATTTTTTTCTGGTTGAACATTGAAGTACCACAAGCTGCTTAAATCCAAATATAAGAAGCATAACTAATATCTAATTTGCTTATATCAAGTGCTATTAAAGACATCTCACCAATGATACTATATGTTGAGGTTTTTATTTGTTATTAAATGAATTTGTAAGGATTCATGTATCAGAACTCTCAAAATCTATTATTATTATTATTATTATTCTTTCCCTGATGTGTTGGATTTTGATGGATTACATTGACTCTGATGGCAAACCCTGAATGACAATGATGCACTCAAAAATGTAAGATTTGCACAATGAAACTAAACATGCAACAACAAAGAGTAACATGATATTTGTATTGAATTTGTGTTGGTTCATGTGTATTTTTTATATCAATGACCGAAAGAAATGTGTCTTGTCACAAAAGGAGTTTGTGTGTGGGGCTGTTTTTGTCTTCATTGATATTTATTTGATTTTCTTTTTTTACCACTGTGTTTCTAATCACTTGCAATGTAATTAGTTTTGGTACTTTCTTTGTCAAGTACTTTTTAAGCTGAAGTTTCGATAAAAGTTTTGAGTAACTACCAAAAAAAGCAAACTGTAATATTTTATTTCTGTCTATACCTGTATATGCACACATATTCTATGCAAAGTCTCATGCACAAATGACACAAATATTCTTATTTGATTAGTGAACTAGAAATCTGAAAGTGCACAATCATAACATTTCTGTGTTTTAAAAAACTCAATACAATCATTTGCTTTTAAAAACCTTTTTTAAACCTCGTTTTTAAAACGCTTGTAAGAGCTGTGCATGTATGATAATAAAACATATTCACGTAGTCCAAACACAAAGGATACATTTGTAAAATGAAAGTTTATATAAAGTAGATTGAACATAATGAAAATACAAAATGTTCAAGAATTGCGTTGCTTCTGCTCATTTAATTGAACAAATAGCAAAGATCACTTTTTTACTCCTATGCGTCTGGCCATTGTATTATTTGTTGGTGCCACTAGATGTCACTGGCTGTACATTGTAAATGCAACTGAAATGACAAGAAGCCATTCTTAGAAAAAAAAAGAGATAGTAGTAATAATAATACAAGATATGGTTAGTTCAGCAGCATGCATCATCACACTGTTAAAGACACTTTAACATTATGCTCTGAAGATATGTTCAAAACGTAAGGATTTCTGCTGGAAAATGTCATTGTGAAATGTCACAGGATATGTGTCTGGAATTATCTTAGCAGATTATCAAATCTACAATTTATATCTTGATTCGAGTTGTAAAACGTAAATCAAAATGTTAAAGCAAAAGATAATCATTTAGAGTGGAATATATTATATGAACAAACTGATTTTTTTTTTATGCGGCGGAAATGGCCTTCCATACTATTAAGTAAATATTTTTGTAATGATACATATTATACAGTAAGTATTTTTGCAGGTGATGTCAAAGGGGATAGAGAGGTTTTGTGGCAGTTGAGAAAAACTTGTTTATTATTAGCAACAGGCAGGTTTGAATTGACATTCTAATGGACGAATGGCATCAAATCAGAAGATACAGGCTTTGTCATGGATCCTCATACTGTAAAATAAAATTAGAAACAAATATCAATGATAATATGGTGGTCAATAAAACAAAATGCATTTGATTATAATTAACATGACAATGTGTACAAAACTAAAGTAGCCTAAATTCACGTTTATTTGTAGGCTACGTTTCTTGTCAGTCTGAGGTGTCGTTGTTACTATAACGCGTTGCTATGGGTTGTGTGTTAACGCGTTCCACGGCCTGTTCAAATACTCGATTCTGATTGGCTGGAAGGTGTGCAGTAAAACCGTTTAATGCACAGGTAGTTCCAGTCAGTTTGATTACAGTTCGAAATTAATCCGCTACTATAAACATTGGTAACGGCTGTCACGTGGTTCATGTAAGCCCCAAGTTCCACAACATACGCGGGCTGTCATGTTCTTATGGGACAGACAGCAGCGATTGCATTATTGACCGGTAAATATAAAATAAAACACACACCCAAGTACTTTTTCAGCTGTTACTGCATTATTGCATTAGTTATGCATTTGGAGAGGCAGGGTGACAACGAAATAGCCTACTAGCCTACTGTATATTACTTAGATACGTTTTAGGCTTTTTTTTTTTTTTGAGGGAAAAGACAGAGCTAGATAAGATCGAAGACGACAAAGATTAGGTCAATACGAAAAAGACAACTAAATGGGCAGTTAACACTTTCAGTGACTTGTTGCACCAAAGACAGAACAATTGTGATTTCGAGACCTAACGTTACTCTTTTAAATGAGACATTTCGGGAGTTTTATGCCTCTGTTCAGTCTACCGCTGGACGCGAATACAGTGTTGCAAGTTTGATGCGTCTCAGAGCAGGTATAAACCGTCACATTACAAAATACAACATCATAAGGGATAAAGACTTCAAGTCAAGCAATGCCGTCTTTAAATCAGTTTTAAAGCGCTACAGGAAAAATGGAAAAGACACCAGCGTTCATCATCCGCGTAAGAAAAGTTTGGTTTGACATACAGCTAATTCATTTAAATAAATGACATGATTAGTTCAAATAAAGCTTTCCTTGTCACTGTCAGTGTTGCCTATTATTCATAAATAATTTTAATAAATCCATGAATCATTAAAAGTCCCCATGAATTCAAAATTGACCATACTTACTTTGTTTGCCTAAATTGATCGTTTTGTGGTGAACAATTCATCCATGCAAGTCAATCCACACAAAAAAATTTTTTGGCTTCGTAATCTTTAGTCAAAATCTGAAATTTCCCCTCCCCTCTGCGTTGGAGGACCTTGCCTGATGACGTAGGTTTCACGGTTTGGGTGTCTTCTTAACATCCGTAATCATGCCCCTCCAACTGACAGTAGACAGGCTGAATGAAAACACCTACTTTTCTAGATCCAATCAGGTGCTAGTTGGGAAAAAAAGCCACGCCCACCATTTTGCCTCATTTAGTATTCCGTTTCTCTCGGAAATACGTCACAACACTGGAGAAAAGTCGTCCGCAACTTCCGGTTCACGGGGACTTTAAGTTAGCTATATAGGCCTATGCTTAAGCAATGAGGGGACTGTAGACTTTAAAGAAGAGACGCTCATAGGTAACTTTCGCACGCATCTCTCTCTCTCTCTCTCTCTCTCTCTCTCTCTCTCTCTCTCTCTCTCTCTCTCTCTCTCTCTCTCTCTCTCTCTCTCTCTCTCTCTCTCTTTCTTCTCTTTCAGTTCTCTGTCTCTCTCTTTTAATAATGAATTTAAATAAATGTGATAATTCATTCAAATAAAAGCAATCCGATGGCTCTACTTTATTTAAAGCGGACGGAGTGCTAGAACTAACGAGCCGTAACTTAAGAAAATAACCGTCATTTTTACACGTCTGTTAAAAAATTGCATTGTAAACATCAGTTACAGCTTTAACTTCTTATTAACTTGGCAAATAACCGAGGTATAAGCGGGATAATCCACGGCTAGCCATGCATCAAAGGATTTTAATGCACGACCTAGAGGCAACCACCCTCCGCTTCGCGTCGGGTGGTTCTTCGCCTCTACGTCGTGCATTAAAATCCTTTAATGCATGGCTAGCCGTGGATTATCCCTTACCTATCCTAGTGCGAGATCGTTTACCCCATAGACATAATAAAAACATAGACGCCCTATTGGCCGCTTTGGAACGTTGCTGCGATACGTCAACGGGTCCGCCATTTTGCTGAGGGCAAGACTGCACTGTAATCAAATGTAAGTAAACGGGGGAGCTGCGTTTTTTCTGGATAAAAACAAACTGTTTTTACATTTATCAACCGATTTCAGTGGTTTGTATGTGGTGTACAAAAAGTTCCATCTCTAGTTATTTAAAATCTCGATAGTTAGACTTGTAAAATATTTTTTTTTTAATAAAGAATGGTCAATTAACTCAG